AATAGGGACAATAACAGTGATAATAATAGTGATGATAATATCAATGATAATAATACTGATGATACAAAAATGATAATCGTTGCAAGCATCAGGGTGTTTGAATTTGCCGCCGTATTATTTTGACCAAATAGTTCCACCGCCAAGTTCTCTGAACGAACACGGGCGGCTGCGACGACGTTCCGGCCACCGGTGCGTCCTGGGGACCGGACAGGACGAGGGCTGCTCTACGCGGGGCCAGAGGAAATGGCAAGAGTGGCGAACGCGAGGAAATGCTATATAGGTTAGTAATATAGGATTTAGAGCTGTCATTAGTAGCAGACAATTGAAAATGGTTGAAATAAGAAGCGTTAAAAAAGATTTGTGAAGAATGACAGGGAGAAAATTGTTTGTTTCTTGTTTTTTTTTCTTTTGTTTGGGCTGATGAAGTTATTGTTGTGTGACTGCAGTTGTACACTCTGGTCGGTGAAACACATTAAAAACGATTTTCTGAATCATTTACATATTTTTGTATACTCTGGTGTGGGAAAGCAGCTTATCACTCTGAAGTGCGTCGAGAATTATGCTGATAATAATGATAGAAAAGTGGTGATAGCTACAATATTTACAGCAAACAGCTGTAGCCATAACGATGATAATGGTGAGAAAACTATGCAAGAAATACATGAAACTATGACAAAGAATATAATGTTGATATAATGAAAACTGAAAGCCCTCCTTTCCCCTCCTCCCTCGCCTGCGTTCACCCTCCTCCTCCTTCTTCTTCCTCTTCTCCTTCTTCTTTTTCTTTTTCTTTTTCTTTTTCATCTTCTTCTTCTTCTTCTTCTTCTTCTTTTTCTTTTTCTTCTTCTTTTTCTTCTTCTTCTTCTTCTTCTCTTTCTTCACAACCCTCCAGCCGTCTTCCCCCCCTCACTTCCTCCCCCCTCACTCCCCCAGCCCCCTCCTCTCTTCCAGAACCTCCCATAAGTCGCCACTCTTTCAGCTACTGATGAAGTCACAATCTGAGCTTTCCCTCCCTAGCAGAAAGATCTCCTTTAGCGCTCTTGATGAGCTTGGGACAGATAGAGGAAGAGAGGATAGGGTTGAGTGTGCGTGTGTGTAAATGTGTGTCTATGTAGTTGCTTTTGGTGATACAGACATGCCCATCTGTATTTCAATAAATCTGAAAGAGAGGGAAAGAGAGAAGAGCGTGAAAAAGAAAGAGAGACAGCCAGACAGACAAACAAACATATAAACAAACAGACAGACAGAGGGAGAGAGAAAATTAAATCTTATACACTTGACTTTAAATGAACTAATACACGCACAGGTTCTTGCTTGCTTGAAACTTAAAGATTGTAATAAATGCTAAAACACCCTCATACCCGTCCTATCTGGGACATCCGTTTAGACGCGACGTTTTAAGTCGATTTTCTACCATTTGTGGTCTTAACCCAATGGTGCCGGGGAAAATAAAAAAAAAATGGGGAAAATGCTGTGCCCACTTTCTATGTTTTTCGTGAAATGTCTGCCGATAGATGGCTCTGCTAGCGCCTGATTTAAATGGCGGGAAAAACGTATTTTTCACTAGTGCTATGAAAATCGATGGTGTTATTTTTATCATAAACATTATAATTTTTATATATTTTTTTTAACATTAGTAACAGCAAAATAAGATTATGTAAAATATTTTGTAAATCAAAGATAAACGGGCGAGACGGGCGGTGCTCGTAACTGGCTCATTGGGGAGTTAGTACAAGTGTTGCCATCTATGCATAAAAACAATCAAACAAGTACTCACTGTGGGCATAGCACGTACGTACACGTCATACCCTGCACCAAGGGGTTAACACAGAACTCTAAGCTGTTTTTTTTTTTTTTTTTGCGAATATGGCCCCAGAATCCTTGACATTCCTTCAGGACCACGTCGACATCTTGTCACATCAGCACCTGTGTAAATATATTATAATCGTGGGTGACCTGAAACAGCATCTGGTGGCTAGATCATTGGAGAATTTGTAAGACACGTTTAGCTGACCAACCACGAGGATTTTCCAACACGCATCAGGGCCATCGCTCAGTCTTGTCAACACTGACAACCCTAATAGCGTGGGCACGTGTCCCTCTTTGGGCACCGTTGGCTCTCCTGGCACTGCGCCATACTTACCAGACTCATTATCTGGTAAGCAGGAACCCGCACAGTATGTCAGTGGGACGGAGGTATATGAATAATCTGGTTTGAAAAATGCCAACTTCTTTGATGAACACCACCTCATCAATAACAGGCAGTTCGACTTTAGAGATTGCACTTGACAGCTGAAATGTCTTGGCATAGCCGGATATCTGTTGATGCTACTTGAAGACTACCTACATGGAAGAACAAAGGAACTTGTTGTTTACAAAGGCAGAGCATCGGCAGCTGACTTGACTCTGCGACTTAACTTAAGACATCACTCACGACATTCTGGCAACGGTGGTGAAGAGCTCCAGATACCCTTCTCCAGGGTCCGGGGTCATGGAACACGGGAAACCTCAATGTACGAGTCTACTGTATACACGAGTTCCACGATCCTGGTTAATAGCACATCCCACTATTACTGTTAAGATTGTCAACTGAATCGGATGTTTAATGCG